GTCCGTGTGTGGGCAATCCAAGTATCTGGAGATGGAATTCAGGTCCATGTGTGTGCAATTCAAGTATCTGGAGGTGAAATTCAGGTCCATGTGTGTGCAATCCAAGTATCTGGAGGTGGAATTCAGGTCCGTGTGTGTGCAATCCAAGTATCTGGAGATGGAGTTCAGGTCCATGTGTGTGCAATCCAAGTATCTGGAGGTGGAATTCAGGTCCGTGTGTGTGCAATCCAAGTATCTGGAGATGGAGTTCAGGTCCGTGTGTGTGCAATTCAAGTATCTGGAGGTGGAATTCAGGTCTGTGTATGTGCAATCCAAGTATCTAGAGGTGGAATTCAGGTCCGTGTGTGTGCAATCCAAGTACTCTACTGACAAAACTGTTCCCCAGTACTGAAATGTCATTCTCTCATACAGACATCTTTAAAAGCCTCCACAATGGCCCTGAAGGTCAACATGCTTGGTAGTTTATGTGACACTTTTATTCCAGTGGGAGCAGAGTTTGGAATAACCAGGCGTTGCCCCTGCCCATGCCTGCCTGTCTTTTACCTCATAGATCTATTACCATGGAGAGCCCATCAGCGTTAATGTCCACGTCACCAACAACACCAACAAGACTGTGAAGAAGATCAAAATCTCGGGTAGCTGGGGGATTCTCCCAAGGGTGGAAATAGCTGTAGGCACACCCTTTGTTAAAAGTCTGTGAAGCACCATCTGTAGCTTTGGGAACAGGTCTGCTCTCAGCCAGTGGTGGCTTCAAAGCTGGTGTCCCGGGCAATGGGTTTATTGCTTTGGCTACTTTTCATAGGCTTTCTGGGCCCTGGCCAAGCTGTCCTAGGAGGAAAGACTTGGCCGTGGGAGGGACTGGGCTTTGGTGGGGGCTTCACTTTGGCTGCAGGCTGGGATGTTGGCCTTCGGTAAACCCTGGCCATTGTCTTAATCTAAGCACTCCTACCCTAGGGAGCTTAAGGTGAATCCTGGGAGCCGCTCCCTGACTCATGTGCCTGTTCCATCTCTCTCTCTCCAGTACGTCAGTATGCCGACATCTGTCTCTTCAACACAGCTCAGTACAAATGTCCCGTGGCCATGGAGGAGGCTGAGTAAGTGTGTTTGAGGCCAGCTCTGGATGGGTGAGACTAGATGAGGGAATAGGACACCAAGGTCCAAGCATCTCTTCCCAACCTGCAGAGGACTGGACCTCCACCTTCTTGACACTCACAGTAGAAGGTGTGGAAGGGTCTTCTTGTTGCTGTGGCACACATGTGGAAGTCAGAGGACAACTTGTGTGCATCATCTCTCTCCTGTCACGTATGTCCTAGGTTAGGACTCAGGTGACATGTGCTTTGACACACCGAGTGACCTCAGTGGCCCCCGTTTTGAGTCCAGGTCTCACTCTGAGACCAGGCTAGCCTGAAACTCACTATGTAGCCCAGGCTTGCCTGGAGTGCATGGCAATCTTTCTACTTCAGCTCTCCCATTGCTGATGTGATAGGTGTGAGCAACCACACCTGCCACTGTTTCTAGTATCCTGTAGATGCATACGTTATTATTAAACCATCAATGATCAATAAGTTCCTGCATTATTAGATATTCTTATATCCATTATTGATTAGAAACAAAACCCAAAGCCACAAGACATAGCTTCCTGATGAGTGTTGGGGGTACAGTGAAATGACCCAGAACCCCAATAGCAGTCACTCCCAAGCGGATGTCACATTCTGTGGTGTACTTGCTTCTGCAGCCTGGAGAAAGGGTAGACGCATGCTTTCTTGTAAGGTTGGGGTTGGGGTTGAGACGTGGCTGGCTCCACTCAAGAGAGGCAAATCTGGGGTTTACTCCAGGGCTATCCCAGTGTCAGTTTCATGTATCTGTCTCGTGGGAGACAGACGGGAGGGGAGCCGGAACAGCACCAGGCAAAATAAACAACTCAAGTACCTGCTTGCAAATGTGCATTACAGCAAGTAAAATTTTATTGGTAGAACCTTGGTGAGGGCCTCCAGACATTCAAAGCTTTGCTCATGGTTTGTACGCACTGATAAAAGTAAGCGAAATGGCTCAGTAGCTAAGAGGCCTTGCTGTTCTTCCGAAAGACTGGGGTTCATTTCCAGCATCCACAGCAGGCTGCTTGCAACTGCTTATAACTCCAGTTCCAGGAGCTATGACGCCCTCTTCTGGTCTCTGAGGGCATTGCATGAACACTAGTACTCATACCCTCAATGGAAGCACACACACACACACACACACACACACACACACGCATCTAAAGAAAAACTTAATCACTGATAAAATATTAAAGATAAATGTGCTGTTTAAACGTGCACCCTGGCATTCCTAACCTAGGGGTAGCCCTGCCCGTGTGTGGTGTGTCTGTGCCTCTTTTGGTCACCAGAGTTGGGCCTGGCCCGAGGGACCCACTGCATCTGGGATACAGAGGTTTGCTGACTGGAGTTTAGGAATAGGACCAGGTCAGACGTCGTGGCTGGGTTTTCTGGCTATGATCTTCATGCCGCCTTTCTACTTCCCAGTGACACGGTGGCTCCCAGTTCGACGTTCTGCAAGGTCTACACACTGACTCCCTTTCTGGCCAACAACCGAGAGAAGCGGGGCCTGGCCCTGGATGGGAAGCTCAAACATGAAGACACAAATTTGGCTTCCAGCACTCTGTGAGAACCGACCCCTCCAAGTCCCGTGCTCCCAGTGCCCTCCCTGCAGTGGAGCCCCACCCTCTTAGCCCACCACTGTGAGGATGAGGTTTAGGCTCGTTCCCCAGCCAATCCTGACCAGAACCAGTCCCCGGAGTGTGATGAGCCAAGGAGGCTGTCTCCCTGCTCCCACCTGCCCAGTCAAAGACTACTCAGCCCCAACATTTGGCTCTGGGGGGACAAAACAAAAAAACTTCCTGCAAGGATTGGCAGCTCTTAGCCTAGAGTACCAAACACAAATTGGGGGTGTCCCTGATGCTGCTGTCAAGGCTGGAGGGGAGAGAATGGCTTCTAGAAGGTTCCTGGAAGGAGATAAATGGGGGCTTGGAGAGACTGAGGAAGAGGTGGTGAGCTGGGGAGAGAGATTTGGGGTGTCCTTCCACGTGAGGTACTGTAAGGTCATCTGGTTCCCCCTGTTCCATGGGTATCACCCTTCCACGTGAGGTACTGTAAGGTCATCCGGTTACCCTTGTTCCACGGGTATCACCCTTCCACGTGAGGTACTGTAAGGTCATCTGGTTACCCTTGTTCCACGGGTATCACCCTTCCACGTGAGGTACTGTAAGGTCATCCAGTTACCCTTGTTCCACGGGTATCACTGGGCCTTCAGGGTTGTCCCACTCTAGAAGAGTCTAGGAAACTCTTATCCCTCTGTTGATATCTGAATCTCTGCCTGTTGCATCTGAGACCACCATTCCCAGCTCAAGACTCTTGACTCAGGCTAGACCATCACATTGTTACCACTCCTCAAGGCTCCCCTTTTCCCACAAGTTCTTTGTCCCTTTTCTGCCCTGACTCATATTTGTCCTGCCCTCGACTCCCCCGATGAGGCATCACCTCCTAAACACCTCCTCCCCGTGCTACCATGCCTTCTCAGCTCTCAGTGTGACCCTTTATGCTTATGGGTCACTGAGCATAGACGGGTGTGAGAGACGTTAATGACAGGAGACCAGTTAGAGCCTGCTATCTCTGCACTGTGTGGCACTAGCAAGGCAGGGAGGAAGGCACACTGGGGCCACAAAGCAAGGATATCTCAGCTCAATGTGGACCTGAAAAGTCTAGGGCCATAGCTTGGTGGTAGGGTTCTTGCCCATCATACATGAAGCTCTGAATTTAATCTCTAGAACCGCGGAGAGTGACCTATGCAGAACCCAAGGCTACAAATTCTGGTCCACTGGGTACAGCTCTCTTGGATCTAGTGGCTTAGGAGAGGGAAGGACAGGGGTGCCTTCCATTGCCCTCCACAGTGAACTAGATCCCATCTGCCAAGGAACCACTCGGACTAGCTTCCCTGTCTTCCCTGCAGGCTGAGGGAAGGTGCCAACCGTGAGATCCTGGGCATCATCGTTTCCTACAAAGTGAAAGTGAAGCTGGTGGTGTCTCGGGGCGGGTGAGTCCAGAGGCCCCAGCATCCCCACCCTGTCTTGCCTGTTTGCCTGACCTTTCTACTGCATCTTCCTGTAGAGTAGGCAGACCTTGAGGACTTCCTCTTCCTTCTCCACTGTCTGAGGCTCCTCCCCGTCTCCATCTCTCTCCCTTCCCCCTTCTCTTTAGCTTAGGCCTGGATCTGGATCTGAGGATTGGGCACAGACTAGGTACTGTGCCTCTCAGGGGCTACCAAGCCCTTCCTCACATCTCAGGGTACAGTACCCACACCCCACTCTTGGAGATGGAGAAACCCGGACCTGAATTGGAGGGTTGCTAACTTGGCTGACTTTCCCATTTTGTAGGTGGGAGAAATAAGCCTAAATAATTGTCCCAAAGAACCAAGTAGCATTTATTAAGATGTTGTCTTTGACTCAAGGATGATGTACACCCCTGTTGTAGCGCTTGGGGTGGGGGTGTGGGGAGAAGCAAGAGATCAGGAGTTTGAGGTCAGCCTGGACTGTATCACACCCTGTCTCAATAGAACAGAGAATATTGTCTGTGTGGCTGGCAGTGTTAATACTGAATGCATATTACAGTACATTTCTAAACATGGTGGCCAGCCCTATGTTCTGTGACCTTGCAGAACCCACAGTCTACCCACATCCTAGTGACCCCAAAATCTTCCTTCTGCCATTAGATAGCCTGGGAGTGGGAGATTAGTCCTTACAGATGTAAGGGGTCCAGGGTTCTGGGGTCCAGGGGCTCTGCAAGCCAGCCCGCCCCTCAATGACCTAGATGAGCTGTTAGCACATAGGGGCGGGGAGCGTGTTCCCTGGGTCTTCTGTGGCGGGGTGGCAGAGAGTGAACCAATGTCCTTTTTCTTTTCTCCCCCCTGCACTCTATCCCGACCGCTTCCTCTGCCTCCTCTGACCCACTCAGCCTGTTGGGAGACCTTGCATCCAGGTAAAGTCCCTCCTGTGTCCTCCTTTGTCCACCTCCCTGCAGGTCCTAGGGTCACAGACCCAGCTGATCAGAACCACAGGGTGCTGGGAGGGAAGAATCCAGGGGTTGTCGCAGCTTGCAGGCTGGGGAGGCGTTGCAACTAGAAGTGACCTGGGACAGTGGGGAGATGTGGCTCCAAGCAGAATACCTCAGCCAGCTTTTCTTCCCGCTCAAGTGACAGAACCTTTGTAGACTGTAGTGATCCAGGCAGTGGCCCTAGGAGGGCCAACTGAATTGCTGACCTGAGTTCTAGGGTGTTTCAGAGTTATGCAGTCTTACTGGCTTTCAAGCGTCTGCTCCACTAAGAATTCATGGCTAACTGTAGTCAATTGCCCCTGCAGCAGCCAGACAGTAACTTAGGAGTGTGTGTGCCCCAGACATAATAACACAAACTCCTAATGTCACATGGCGATGGTGTCACTCATCCTACGACATCTGGGTGATTTTTTAAAAAAGATTTCTTTGTAATTATATATACAGGATTCTTCCTGCATGTATCCCTGCAGACAAAAGAGGGCGCCAGATCTCATCATAGATGATTGTAAGCCGCCATGTGGTTGCTGGGAATTGAACTCAGGACCTCTGGAAGAGCAGGCAGTGCTCTTAACCTCTGAGCCATCTTTCCAGCCCACCAAGTGATTTTTTTTAAAATGTCATATACATTCATAGTTTATTAGTCAATATATTTTAAGATGTATTTATTTATTATATATAGTGTTATGTCTACATATATGCCTACTCACCAGAAGAGGGCACCAGACCTCATTACAGATGGTTGTGAGTCACCATGTGGTTGCTGGGAATTGAACTCAGGACCTCTGGAAGAGCAGCCAGAAGCCAGTGCTCTTAACCTCTGAGCCATCTCTCCAGCCCCCAAGTGATTTTCTTGTTAAATGTCATTCAGCAAAATGTGTTTGAGTCCAGACTTGTGGCCAGGCTTGTGCAGGGTGCTGGGATATCAGAAGGGGGCCGGCAGTACCCTTACTATTCACAGCCTGGCAAAGTCGGTGCCCGGGTCCTGCCAGCCACATCCTGTGTGTGAAGACTGATTGACTCTGGCTTCTACCAGCTCCCATCACCACACCCAGTCCCTTCCCCCCTCCCAGCTGACCCTGAGCAACAGGATCAGTAAGATGTGGCTGTGTCTTCTGGAGCCATTCATAATTTAAGGAGGGCTCTCTAGGATGATGCCACCCTTAGCAGAGAGGAGCCTCCAGGGCTACTTTTTATTGTTCTCCCAATTCTGTTTACCATCCAGGGGTTAAGGGGGTGAACAATGGAGCCTGACTCTTTCCTCACTTACCACTGAGTAGCTGGGCAGCCTGAGGCAAAACTTTTCTTTTTTTCCCCACCCTGAGACAGGGTTTCTCTGTAGCTTTGGAGCCTGTCCTGGAACTCACTCTTGTAGACCAGGCCGGTCTCGAACTCACAGAGATCCATCTGCCTCAGCCTCCCGAGTGCTGGGATTAAAGGTGTGCACCATTACCGCCCAGCATGAGGCAAAACTTAATCTACACATACCTTAGCTTCCAGGATCTTGCCTAGGCCATCACAAGAGTAGGGTCTTTGTGAAAGTACAGAAGTTGGACTCTAAGGAGGGGCTTAGAACAGTGCTGGGTAGTTTGTACCATGCAGGTGCCTGCTCTTGTCCTCAACCTGTCTGTGAGGGACGAAGTCAGGGAAGGCCTGGTCATTGACAATGAGTGGTGGCCATGCTTCCTCTCACATGCACAATCTGAGGGGCTAGAGTCTGCACACAGAGCAGCTTCTCTGAGCCTGAATCCCTGAAGCTTGTAGGTGGCAGGGTCCGGGGGTCACCTGAGCATCTTAATAGGAGTGTTGGGAGATAGGGTGGGTAGGATTGGGAGAAAATTGGGACGGGTAAGGTCAGGAAGTCATGGCGATTTGAGGTGGGCAGAACCCCAGGCCACCTTGGTTACTCACTGACCATGGTGTAAGTCCCTAGAGGGTGTGGTTCCGAGCCATGGTAATCAAACAATCCTTAGGAACAAGGGGAATTTCTGTTTCTTTCTTTTTCTGTTTTATTTTTGGTGGTGGTGGTGGTGGTGGTGGTGGTGGAGGAGCTTCTATCTCTTCGTGAAGACAGGAGGAAAGGTGGTGGTCAGGCTAGCAAGACTGGAGTTGCTTTCCCACAGACCTCCCCAGGCCTCAGACCGACAGAGCAGCAGGTTTTTAAAAGCCTGAGGCTCCCTCTGAGCTCACTGAGTTGGGATTGTATTTCAGTGATGTGGCCGTGGAGCTGCCTTTTACCTTAATGCACCCCAAGCCTAAAGAGGAGCCCCCACATCGGGAAGGTGAGTGAGTCCCATGGATCACTGGGGTGGGACTTATCAGCTTCCCTGTTATCCCACAACCCTACTTCTTTCTGTGTTAGCCCTCAGCCCGGGATCACCCTTTCCCCATCTCCCAGACTTTTACGAGGCCCACAAAACATTTGGTTTTGACCCAGCTAGGAGGCCGAGAACCCTGACTCCTGTCCTCCATTAGAGAGGGAGGCTAGGAGTGGAGGACAGGCTATATGGGTGGATTTTTATTTTTATTTTATTTTTTCATTTAAAAGCATTATATTTTATGTGTAAGCATGTTTCGCCTGCACGTATGCCTGCGTACTACATGTGTATGTGCTCTCAGAGGTCAGAAGAGGGCGTCAGATCCCCTGGGACTGGAACTGTAGATGGTTCTGTTAGATACCATGTGAGTACTGGGAATTGAACCCACAACCAGAAGACTCAGTGTTCTTTAACTGCTGAGTCATTTCCCAGTACCTATATCGGTTGAAGTTTTAAGTTGATAACAGATTGGCCACATTACATTGGAAGGGGTGTTAAAGTTCACAACGCAAATGAAGTCTGTGCCTACAAATCGACTTGAAATGCCACAGATGGCGTTCTGAACGCAGAGAGGTGACAAGATGGAAAAATAGCCAAACATGACAGCACCTGCCCACAATCCCAGCCAAGGGAGGTGTGTGAGGCAGGAGGACCACAAATTTGAGCCAGCCAGGGCTGCAACAATGGTCTTAGAGCGAGTGGAACTCAGGCAAGCCAAGGAACGACTGTGTTTCATGCTGGAGACCTGTCTCCTGCAGGGTCTTCAGTGGACACGGAAGCCTCCCGTGCATCTGCTGCTGCTTGGGAGAAGACTCAGGTGTTCTAAGACCTGGGATGCTTCCCACTTACCTTCCCCATCATCTCAGCTAGAAGTGTCCCAGGATGGGGAGGGGGCTCCTTGTTCCATTCCTCTCCTGTCATCCCGCACCCCACTGACCCCTGGGTCCCTCACACGCCTTGTGTATGTTCAGTTCCAGAGAGCGAGACTCCAGTAGACACCAATCTCATAGAGCTTGACACCAAGTAAGCTGAACCTCCCTGCCTGTGATGTCTCTGGGTGGGGCTGGAGGCGGGACGGGAGAGGTGGAGGGGTCATTTGCATAAATGCTTATTAACCTCGGAGAAGCAGCCGGTCTAACCTGTCTGCTGAGTGCCACCTCTGATCACCTCTTCAGCACCCTGCTTGCCTGCATGTGACTTTGAAGGACCCTTCGTGCCTGTTCCTCTTCCTCCCGCACTGGTGGGGTCTGTCTTCCTCTCTCGTCAGTCCGTCCATCCGCAAGCGCTCACTCAGCTGGCTGGCATGGGGCTGGTTCAGACCCTGGGTTCCCCTCTCTCACCTGATCCCATGCCTGCTGGAGGCTGCCTGTAAGGGTGGAGAGAGTGTCTGGGTGCTGTCACCTCTGCCACCCGAGAACCACCTGATTCGGATTCCCCTGCTGTGGAAGGCCATTGGGGCACCAGACAATGGCCAGAGGAAGAGGACCTGGTTCAATGGCTTGAATCACCTCTGGGGCCAGGCCTGTTGTCTCCCTACAGCTCCCTAAGCCTCCTTTCCTTGACCCTTTGGAGAGATCTGGGAAACGGGGGTTTCAAGTTGCCCTATGAGGAAGCCCATTCAGTTGGCTGAACTCTATGGAGCAAGGGGCTCTTGTGTCTCTGACTGGGCCTAAGTGATATGATGAAAAGAAACGGTCCCTAGTCCTGCGGTCCCTAGTCCTGCAGCCGTAACCAGATCTTTCCCCTTTCCTCTGTCCCCTGCTCAAAAGTCCCTCCCCTACGTCGGGTCCTTGGGGTTAGCATGTGAGCTAGTACTTCTAGGAGAAAGGGTCTGCTTTTCTTCCTTAGAGCCCAGAATCAACTTCCTGGCTGAAACAAGCATGCTCCCTAAAGCAGTCATGTTGGTTTGCTTTTAAGGAGGAGAAGTGGGATTTCTTGGGCCTGTTCTTTGGGGGGTTCCAATGCAGAGAGAGCCACACTGCTACCCCTACTTACCTTGTTCATCCCCTCAGCATGGGGGTCACTTTTTTAACCCTTATATACCGAGAGGCAAAGTTCTTGGAGTTTATGTGAGACAATCCCCCAAATCCCCACAGTTACCAACTGGTTTGTAAATAGGCCAGGCTGGTGTGTCTTTCTGTCCAAGGTCATCCCAGAGACCCCGGAGAGTGTAGTTCTCTCTTGAGCCCCTCTCCCCACATCTGATCAGGCCCCTGGACGTGTCTGATGTCTGCCCCTGCAAACACATGGCATCTTCCTTGTCTCTCCCACCAGTGATGACGACATTGTATTTGAGGACTTTGCCCGCCAGAGGCTGAAAGGCATGAAGGATGACAAGGACGAAGAGGAGGACGGCACTGGCTCCCCACACCTCAACAACAGATAGACTGGGGCCAGCCCTCGCCCTGGCAGCTCCAGGTCCACGTTTGCACTCGGATGCTTTCTCGTCTCCTCCCCGTTCTGGTTCCCCCTTCCCTCTTGTTCTTCCAGTTTCTACCAAGGGGCCCCAGTGGTCTTCCGAGTCTCGGCGATGAGCCTCTGGCCTCAGGACTGGCCTCCTGTCACCATGCCAGCAGGACCACAGCATACATCCTTCTCAGCCATCTCTCTGCGATCACCTGTCCACCCCCGTTTCCTGCTCCTTCCCAAAAAGGCCACACCACCTGGCCTTGGGATTTGGCTTGAGTTGGGGAGCAGAAAGGGGAGGGTGTGTGGCCAGAAGGCCAAAGCGATGGCGGGTATGAAGATGTGGAGACGTTGGGAAAGACGGATTAAGACACACAGGAAGATGCCTACCATCCCAGGAGGTGACAGTTTTGGCAGCTAAAAGATGAGTGTATTGCAGGCTGGAGAGGACAAGACTGTGAATGGATTCTCAATGCTTTTTTTGTGGTCTAGGCCCACCAGAGACTCCTTCCCCTCCATCCTCATTCTTGGTCCATGTCCCAGTGTCTCATGAGGGAGGCACACAGACTCCAGGCGTGAAGAGCAACGGTCTGACTTTCTAGCCAGTAGACGCCTAGATTGAGGCAGGCTACAGATGCACCCACACATCTGTCACAGTACTGAGAGGATGAGTCACCTTAGCTTTGTTGCATTGTGTGTGGGGGCACAGAGCGGGGACGCGGGTCTCTAACAAACACCAGCCCCTAGCAGTGAGCCGAAGCCACTGAGAAGGTTGTCTGAAGGGGTTAAGAGATGGGGCAGGGCAGCGGATGAGCTTACATCCTCCTTTCCCATAGTGGCTAGTCCTGCAGGAGGCAAGGATGGAGGGCCACAGGCAGCTGAAACCACCAGTATCTTCCAGCTTCCTCCAGCGTGCCTGAAACGACCATTTCTACTGCTAAGGGAGCCTATCCCAGAAGGTGGCACCCATCCAGATGCACTCCCCTGTAGGAGAGTGTCTCCTCTCCTGGAGGAGTTGATCTCATTGATGGGTACCCAGTATCCATCAGTTGGTGTTGGTGTGCTTGACGGGGGTATCTCCTAGGGTAATAGGGCAACAGGTGGTAAAACAGTACTCAAAGGTATACTTGTTTGGTCTTTGATGCTAACTTGTTGTGTGACCTCGGGCCAGTTCCCTCCCCCACTTTGGGCCTCAGTTTCTTCAGTTGGAAAGCCAGGAGGCAGACCAGATGATCCCAAGAGTTTCCAGCTCTGGTTTCTGTAAATTTGTGGCTTTCTGAGCTCCTAGTCTACCAGGTGGGGCTGAGGCTGCCAACTGCCCCATCTGCCTTTAGAGGAGATTTATGGGACCTCAGAGGACTCAGGGCTGGGCAGAGCACCGGGTGCACCTTCCTGACTAGGAAGGGCCATCCTAGGACCCTAGTTGGCTTGTCTGATGTCAAGTTGTGGTCACAGCCTCTGTGGATCTCTCTGTCCCAGGGCTTATATTTGCTGAGGCTTGCATGAGAAGTGTGTGGACAACCTTGGGTTTATCAAATATATTGATTAGCAGGCAAGAGGATCTCATCTCAATTTCTGTTCTCTTTTCTCAGTTCTATACTTGCCTGAGAAGGGAGACCACGACTTTTGTTTGCTTCTGAGGCAGAATATCATGTAGCTCCGGCTAGCTATGAACCTACTATGTAGCTGAGAATGATCTTGAATTCTTGATCCTCTTTTTCTCAAGTGTTAGGATTATAGGCATGTCCCACTACCACTGGCTTCGCACTTTATTTTGCAGATCGGATCCCAGCCGTTTTCAGTCCAACATGTCCAGTAATTGTAATAGTTTCTCATGGTGAAACGATCCAGACTCACTGGCCCTGCACCTTTTATGTCTCATAAACGGTCAACTCAAGACACCTCTTTGCAGGTTAGAAGAGCCAGTTTGGGACAGTCGTAGTCCCTGACCAGCCCTGGGATCATAACTGCAGACTCTCCTGGCATCCAGGCCCTGCCAGAGCTAGCTGGGTACTTTTGCACCTATAGAGTTGATAAAAATCTTGAAGCATTTAAGGCAAGCATGTGCCTTCCGCTGGCTTCCACTAAAACCTTTGGAGCGGATACAAGGCTGTTTAGCATTTGGGCTAACCCCTCCCTGGCAAACCTCCCTCCCATCCTTAGCTTGTACAGCCAAGGGTCTCTCAGGCAGATTTCTTGAACTTCCTGCACCTCGGCATCCCCACTCACCCTTCGGTTTACCCCACAGATCAGCTGAAATTCCTCCAGCTGCAGGGACGTCTCAGAGCTCTCTCTGTTTTGAGCTAGGACAGTCAAGGTGGTTTCCAGCCAAACGATCCTTTGTTGACAGCTTTGTTCTTTTATGCTGGGTGCTGTGGACACTGAGGTGGATTTCCCCCTAGAATCCCTGTCTGTAGAAAGCTGCTGGCGGCGGGGGGGGGGGGGGAGTGAGAGGCAGTACTGATGGTGCTGGCTACAGCTAGTCCACGCAGTGGCCCTTCCAGGTGGAGTCAATTACACCGTGGGAGTCTGGAATTAGGTGCCACTTGCCTCTGCTTCACCGTAGTGTGCTGTCATCCCGGGTGAGGTATTTGGGCTAGCGTGTCTCTTTGGCCTCTTCAGTAAGAGGCTTAGATCCCTTGTCTAGGCCTCTGCTGCAGACACCAGGCCTAGCCCCCATCTCATGACATGGCCCAGTATTTCTCTGTAGGGCCCTTCTCTGTCATGGAGTGTTCCTGGCCAGGAAGATACTTGGGAGTGAAACTGGAGGCGAAGGAGCCTCCTGAGGTTCCAGGCATTCTCCGATGGTGTTGGCCTTTCCTGTGCTGAGGGTCTGGGACTTGTGCCACCAAACAGCCCACACTGGGACTTTCCAGTAGACCAAAAGGCATACGTTGATGCCAGTCTGGGCAGGAAGAGCATGCTTTGGGAAAAGCTTGTCAATAGAGGGTGACCAGACTTGCCCAGTATCCCAGCCAAAAGAAGAGTTCAGTTCCAGAAAGATGATGGAGTTGCTTGGCTGGACCCTGCGGCCATTTCAGCTTTGAAGCCCAGATGACTCCCGCTGGATGGTGGCTCACAACCTGATTCCCACCTGGTGCGGTGAAAGGGAGGTACCATGTCCTGAATGTGCCCAAGGCCACCTCTCAGTCCCTGCTAACTGGAACAATAGCCTTTGTCTGCTTGCTTTGTGGGATTGCTATGAGGCTGAGAGGAGAGCCAGGAGCCAGCACCCTGTAGGCTGCAACCTGCTACACAGAGGTGGCCCTGTCACTGCAGGGATGAGACTTGAGGTCACACAGGAAGCTTGCCATAGAATGAGCCCTCTGTTTGCCAGTCTCTGTCTTTTGTCCTGATTTTCCTGGTTTAGATATCAGCCACAATGACAATTAGCTGTTGTGGCCTAGGTGACCACACTGGGGAGAATGTAGGTGCTATTGTCCAAGGATGGGCCCCAGCAACCAGGACACAGAAGAAATACATGTTGTCAGTGATAGGGGGACAGGGAGGAGCATCCTGGACTTTTCTGGGCAGAGATTCACCCACCTCCTAGAGCCTGCAGAAGTCAAGAAACCTGGACTCTGACCATAGATCAGGTTGCTGAACCCAACCTTGTGCCACCCAAGAAATCCAAGGGTGAGAGGAAATAGACGTTGCCTCTTCTAAGTACAAGATTCTGTCCAGGACCTACAGAACCACCACAGCTCCTTGGAGACCTTTGGGAATGCCCAGTCCTCTTGCTCTGTGAGCTGAACCCTGGCTGATCCATTCACAGGAGCTGCCGCACCCCAGAGGTAGCTCTCCCTCACCAATGACTAAAGTCTGTGTATGTGGCTTCCATCCACCAGAGAGGGGCTAGGCTCCAACCTTGAACTCCCAGGACCCAGGCAGGTGCCTGCTCTGATATTTACTCTTTTTAAAGTTAAGGACCAAATGAGACTCCTCTGATTTTTATCCACACAGCCTGTCTTGGGCCTGATCCGGGCAGCTCTCTAAATCCTGTCCTCCCTCCTGGCCTGAAGCAGCCTCCTGGTGGGGACAGATCCACACCTCTGCCATCCCCATGCACACTGGCTTCACACGGAGGCCCGTGGGAGGGGAAGCACCCCCTCCCTCAGCCATTACCAACCTATCATCCCCCAAAAGGGAAATCACAGTCAAAGCACAGGTCCCTGGGACCCACCGTCTGCCCCAGGTACCGTGGAGGTGTTCCACACAGCCTCGCTGGGGCTGCTGCCAGGGGAAGTTGGGGAAGGGGCGAAAGGCCAGGTCTCCGGCCTTTTCCTCATTCCTGCTTCCTCCAGAATAACTCTGCACTTAACTCTCTTGTCTTTCAAGGTTTCACTTTTAAACTCTGCTTTGAAGAAAAGCTTCAAACCACCATTCTGAGGTTTGATCTTAGACCAGCAAGCACAGGCTCTCCTCTTGCTTTTTGTGTGTTGGGGTGACTCCCGCGTGCTGATGCAAAGATGCTTTGTGTTGGAGCACAGGTCACCAGGTCCTAGCATTTGAACACACATACGCTTGTTTTCTAATTGAGCCATGCCAAAGCTTGGGGACGAGTTGGATGTGGGCTGGAAGGGATGCTCAATGAAGGGAGAACTTGGCCCTGATATTGACACATGCTGCATGGGGACCGCGGAGTCTCCACTCGGGACTCATTCTCAGGCAAGGCCCGTGGCCCAACAGAAGGAGCAGGGTGATGGGAGGAAAAGCTAGGGTTGGTCTCTATACATAGCCAAGGGGTGGGAATCCAGGCTCACATAAGAGCTATACCAGAGAGGGCATTTGTAAGGCTGGATTCTCCAGAGATGTTTTAGGTATGTCTTCCTTGAGTGAATCTCCTAGGATTCCACTTCCACACCCGTGAATGTCCATGTGCACAACAGGAGGCTTTTGCGCCCCAGAGGCTGATTCCCCTCCTGTAGTCCATCAGCTTCCTTCCGTGCACACTCACGGGAATTCATCTGCACCACAGCTCACTGCTGAAACTTGGGCTAGCCTTCGGCACAGTCCTGCCTGGACCTCCTGGCATTCTAGGTGAGGATATGAAGCTCAGGGCACTGCTAATCACATGGCCTAGGAGAAAGATGTTTATGTTCAGTCCAAGCGTGACTTAGGAGACCCCACTGACCTCAGGTTCCCTACGTGTAAAGGGCTAGTACCAGGCTCTGCCCACCTCACGGGGACGACCGGAAGGGATCTAAGTGGGCAGGAAAGAGGTCCTACGAGGGGCAGCCTGTGTGAGGGAATAGGGTCTTGCCTGGGCTGCCGACCTACAGAGCCCACAGCAGAAGAAAAATACGAGATAATCTGTCTTCCCTGGGTGTCTCCACTCGGTGTTGGGTCCAGACGCCACTGCTGCCGGGCTGCCTCTTCCGAGGGGTGGAAACTGCTGTGTGTCCTGTGTGTGGTGGGGAGGGGTGGCTGGGGCAGCCTCAGGTCTGCGACCCTCTGTGACGTGATGGTTTTTGGCACATTCATTCCTGGACCACATCCAGGTCAACCTGTCGTTTCCATGGCTGCCCTTGTTCTGTGACGTCATTATAGTTTATTCTGCTCCAACAGGATGGACGAGCAGAAGAACCTCGAACGAGAGGCCATTAAAGGCCTTTTGTGACAGACGACATTGGCTGTGCTTTTATTTCTTGTTCGAGCCCCGACAGGACAGGGACCACAGGAAAGGGGCGGAGACGTGCCCTCCTGCCCAGGACTGCCCTGGTTCTATGCCTCATCTGGGCTCTCCTGAAGATTCCCCAGGGACTTCTCCTTTTCTGTTTCCCTAGTGTCTAGCCTCGTGGCCTCGGGGGGAAGCTGCCAAGCCTTGGGTCTCTCTCAGAACTGACTGGATTCCATGACTTCTGAGTTGAAGACCCTGTCTCCCGTCTGTTACTGTCTCCTCAGTTAGAGTCCTCAGTCCAGTTCTGGTTCTGGCTCTGCCTGCTTTCTACAGCCTGCTCTGCCCGGTCTTTCTGAAGTCACTTTAGTTCCCCAAGCTTTACCTCCCCTGGGCTATGGGATACAGGGGAAGAGTAAGGAGCTAGATGGAGAGGACCAGCCAACATTCTAATAGACACTGTCTTATTTTCAATTAAAGAGAAGGCATGGTGGGCAGTGGTGGTGCAGACCTTTAATCTGAGCACTTGAGAGGCAGAGGCAGGCAGTTCTGTGAGTTCAAGGCCAGCTTGGTCTACAAGATCTAGATAGGCTCCAAAGCTACAGAGAAACCCTGTCTTGAAAAACCTCAACAACAAAAGCAAAAAACAAACAAAACAGAAAGAAAGAAAGAAAGAAAGAAAGAAAGGAAGAAAGAAAGAAAGAAAGAAAGAAAGAAAGGAAGAAAAGGTATATTCTGGACAAGGTAGTGCACACCCTTAATCCAAGCTCTTGTGAGGCAGAGGTAGGCAGATCTCTGAATTTTAGGCCAACCTGATCTACATAGTGAGTTCTGGGTCTATCTAGCTACATAGTGAGACCCTGTCTCAAAAAAAAAAATAAAATAAAGGAAAGAAAGAAAAAAAAGAGGCCCATGAATATGATAATTTAAAAAATGATTATGTGATGAAAATTTATTTTTCATATTCCTGTAAAAATTGTGTCAACTTATGTCAAGGCCTTGTCCTTCTGCGTAGCCATATGTGGGTCATTCCTTTATCTCTCTTACAGACAAAGCAGGACAGGAGGAATATTTGGGCATTTATCTTTTTTGTTGATGCTTAGATGTATTTATTTTATTTTTTTTTGTGTGGGAGCATTTTGCCTGCATGTGTGTATGTACCATGTGCATACCCAGTGCCCAAGGAAGTCAGAAGAGGGTTATAGATGCCACGCCCCCGAGAAAGAGAGAGAGAGAGAGAGAGAGAGAGAGAGCGCACACGTGGAGGTCAGAAGACAACCTTGTGGAGTTGGTTTTCTCCGTCGACTTTTACGTGAGCATGGGTGCTCACACTCAGGTGAGCATGGGTGCTCACACTCAGGTGAGCATGGGTGCTCACACTCAGGTGAGCATGGGTGCTCACACTCAGGCCGACAGGCTCGAGCAGCAAGTGTGGTTCCACACCAAGCCATCTCACCAGCCATTGGTTGCTTCTTGAGACAGCCTTGGCAACATCAACATTCCACAGATGATTATAACAGGGCCCATAGTCTACACAACATAACATTTACACTGTCCAGAACATGATCTAAAATTATTGTAAGCACGCACATGCACATACAGTGACCAGGACTTAGGATAAAAATTACAAAAGGCACCAACTCTAAGAAGACTTTCATGCTAAGATTATTATCAGAGGTGGCAGTTTAGAATTTAAATAGCTAGGAAGACAGTTGTACAAAGCAGAGATACAGAAACTATAGGGAAATTAACAAAACAGATTTTAGGATTAAAAAGTAACTGAAATAAAATACACACTGGCTAGGTTCACAAAAGGGAGGTAACAGAAAATTCACTGAATTTGAAGACAGATGATAGAATTTTTCTATCTGTGAAAAAGGAGGGATGCATTTCTTTTAGAGTTAACAGAGCCGTGGGGTCCTGTGTGTGGGGAACTTGTGGGGCCTGGTCATAGAGTTTCATTGTCATTTGATACTCAGAGCAGAGGAGAAAGACATTGGTGCAGAAAAAGCAATATTTGAGGAAATAATGGCTGCTACCTGCTCCCCACCCCAACCTGATGGAAGACACACATTAACATATTCGAGAAGTGAATTAGGCAGGATTCTGTGAAGGATGAGAACCATAGGATGCACGTATTATGCAGGGAATTTCTCAGATGGGCTTACGTGTTATGGCCTGGGTAACCCAACCATGGTTTTCTGTTTGCTGGAGAGGTGGAGAACCTAGTAACTACTCTACCTACAAAGCTGGCTGCCTCCGGAGCTCCAGTCTGGTATTGAAGGCCCGGAGGATTTCTAGGGAATCGCTGGCATCCAGGCCACCCTGGAAAACGGAAGGGGCTGGAGTCTGATGTCAGTAGAGGACGGAGCGGGTCAGCATCCATGGCGGCAGCAGTGTCAGACACACTCCCGCACTTTCGCAGGAACTAAGTAAGGGACAGGCAGAGCTGTTTCTTCCTTGGCCACCTGCTGGGAAATGCCACCTACTCTGAGGGTGCATCCCTTCCACCTCTCAGTCACTCCTCTCTGGAGACATACCACGGACACACCCAGAGGTATGCCTTCCACATGATTCCAGATCCTACAGAGTTGACAGTTAAGATTAAACCTCACCATTTGTAGAAGAAAAACAATGTATAGACAAATATCATGAAACTCCTACAACCCAAGATCAAGTTAAAACTCTTGAAAGCCACTAGAGAAAATGATGTATTCTGGAATGTTCTTCCATTTAAAGAATTACTGTCTGAACACAGGTTTCTCAGGGGAAAACATGGAAGTCAAAAATACATGAACTAGATTTAAAAGGTTAACAGAAATGTAGACTCCAAACTTCATATTCAGTAAAAAAAAAAAAAATCACTCTCCATGAGTCTTTGTAAAACAGATTCTCAGATCAATAAAGACCAAAAGGACATATCACCACACTTATTTTTTTTTAAAAAAAAGCAAATAAAACTTTTTTTCAGGTTGAAGGGAAATTATGACAAGGATGAGCTCAAATTTTCAGGAATTAAACGTGACAGACATGGTGATGATTTGGGTAAAAATACAAGGTTCTGTTGATTGTTCTTTAGGGCAAAAGGAAGAAAGACCGTAATGCTGGCATGGTTGCCATTCCTGACAGAGAATTAACACCATAACACATCTGTAATGTGAGGGAAATTAAGAACTTATTTATTCACGCATCTTCTGTATTATATTTGAGGGCTGTCGAGAAGGCTCAGGATGTAAAGATGCCTACCACCGAGTCTGATGACCAGAGATTGATCTCAAGAACCCATAGAGCAGAAGGAATTAATCCACCCCTACATGTTGTCCTGTGAACTTCACAAGTATGTTGTGTGTGCATACTCATATATACATGTGCGTGAACACACGCATAAACACATGTGATGAAAAAATGTAAAAATACTATTATACTTGAAGTGATGAAGTAATAACCCTAAGTAGACCAGGAAAAGGTGTGCATACTGTGATCCCTGGAGCAACAACTCAAGATAGAAACACATCTATAAATGAAAATAGAAACAATAGCATATTAAAAATTAATTCAGATATTTCAAAAGAAGGCAGGAAATCAGAGACAACTACAAAAAGAAAAATAGATGGAAAAAACAGAAAAATAAAAATAGTATTTTTTTTAAAAAAATTAAAACCAAATATATCAGTAACTATAACAAACGAAAATGGACTAAACACAACAAATTAGTGGCAGAGATTGCCAGAACAGATTTATCATCTAACTAAATTCTGTCTATAAGAAACCTTCTTTAAGGGACTGAAGAGATGGCTCAGAGGTTAAGAGCACTGGCTGCTCTTTCAGAGATCCTGAGTTCAATTCCCAGCAACCACATGGTGGCTCTCAACCATCTATGATGAGATCTGGTGCCCTTGTCTAGCATGCATGCAACACATCATATACACAATAAATAAATAAATCTTTAAAAAAGAGAAACCTGCTTTAAATGGGGACCTTGGGAGAGAGTTGGAGGGGAAGGGAGAGGCAGGGAGGGGAATCAATTAAAAAAGATTGCAAAAAAAGAGAGAAAGAAACCTACTTTACCTATAAAGACAAGGGACATACTAAAATTTCTTTTTCTTTTTTTTTCTTTTTCTTTTTTTTTTCAAAACAGAGTCTCACTATGTAGCTCTGGCTGCTGACTGTCCTGGAACTCATGGTGTAGACCAGGCTGGCCTCAGACATACAGAGATCCTCTTGCCTCTGCCTTCTGAGTGCTGGGATGAAAGGCGTGAGCTACCAGCTGACTGATGTCTTAAATTTTGAAGGCCAGGTGTATTGTTTCACACCTAAAATCCCAGCAGTCAAGAGGTCACAGCAGGCTAACTTCAGTTCTAGACCCAAAACAAAACGGCCCCTCAAAAGTTAGGAAAGCTACCCCATGCAAACGATAAAAAAGCACAATTAATGGCAATATTAGTAATTGACAAAGTAGATTTCAGAACAAGAAATGTTAACAGAGTTAGTGAAGGGTTTGTGCACTAGTAAGTGTGTCAGTTTGTCAAGACGTGATAACCCTAAACGCAAAGTGCACCTGACCATTGTGTGTCCAGATATGTGGTGTAACAAGGGGTGGAGCAGAAAGGAGAAATGTACGAACCTAAGTACCCCTCTCTCATCAGCCGACTAAGGCAGAAGAGGGTACAGAAGGTCTGAATGAGCTAATTGATATTAGCGTGGCCTGGAAGACATCATTGCATATTTTACCCCCAAACAAAACAGAAGTATTCTTCTCAAATACATAGCTTGTATTTTCTGTGCCTAAAGAGATCCTTAGTAAACTTAAAATTTTTAGCTCATAATTTTTTTTCTCTGATCAACACAGAAATAAACTGGAAATTTAACACCAAAAAAAATGTATCTGGGAAGTCTGCAGGTATTTGGAAATCAAGCAACACTTCTAAATGGCTCAGAGAGGAATTCACCAAAAAAGAAGAGAAAATATTGTTCTGAACAAATATAGAATTAAATGAAAAGAAGAACTGA